TGTCTGACAACCTGTCGACACCGGTTTACAGTTGTCGGACACTGGGGTTTGCTGTTTCGCAGCCGAGGTGTGTCTGCTGTTTCATAAAAACATCTAGGCTCCTGCTTTTCCGCGGAAGGGGCTGGCCCGGCGCGGTGACAGCCAGCCGACCGGGAGCGGCCTCTCTTCGGAAGTTGGAGCTGCCTTTGCTTTCCTGGAAGTCTTTGGCAGAAGTGCACCCAGGTGCCCTCATGTGCCACTAACCCGGCGTGGCGTGCCATCCGATGCGCTCTGGCGTCCCAGGGGCCCCCACTAGGTATTAAGTCATATGGACATGACCGACCGTGCTGTACTTGGAGAAGCGGGAAGCGGCCAAACTCTGCAACCTTTCTCTATTGTGGAAACTTTGCGAAAGGGAACCCTAGCTGAGAAGCCACTTGCTGGGGGAAGCAGATGCCATCTATGGTAGCGGTTTCTTGGGGGCGAGAGACCTTTTAACAGAGACTGCATCACAGCAGCGCAACGGAAACATTCCAGGCGCCCTAAGTGGTGATGAGAAAAGCCCAAGTGGCCTGGGCGCCCCTCCTTTGTCCCTTGGGTGTGCAGGAAGTAAACTTAAGAAGAGCACACCCGCCTGAGGCGGCTAGGCGACCAGGCCAGGGACAGGACGTCCCTCTCCACCCGCTGCCCTGGGGAAAGAGAGAGCCTATGAGACAGGACCCAGTACTGCTGGTTGGCTCCCAGTGGCCAGGGGCCTGGCCGCTCTAGGGCTCGGATGGATGCCAAGTGCAAGGTCCTCCTGAGCTCCCCCTGCTCAGACAGGTTGGGCAGGCAGCTACTGAGCTTTACTTGCTGGCTTGGTTCCCGTGGCCCAGATGGGGAGTGTGTCCAGGGTACCAGTCCGGGCTACTGGGCCACTTTGCACCGCATCTTTCACGCAGCAATCAGAGCTCCCAGCTTCCGGTGGAATCTGCAGGAATTTCATTCACTGGACTCTGGCGTTGTACTCCGTTTGTGCCGTTTGGAGCTGTGGGATTGAGGCTGACATCTGGGCTTGGTCCCCAGAATACTCTGTTGCAGGTGACCTGGGCCACCCGTACCCTGGACACCAACGGCTGGGATCATGGAAGCCCAGGGACTCTGGCAGCATTGGGATGGCTCCCGTTTCTCCATTTTGGGGTCTGAGGATAGACACAGAGCCACTGCCCATAATAGTAATGTCATCACCAGCTCTGTAATGAGGCTGTAATTTCTCGGCTCAGAGTCAGGCTTTATTCTTCTTCATGCTGCTATCGCCATCTTCACCCCAGGAGCCCCAGCGCTCTCCAGAAATACCCTGCAACTGCCTGGGCTCCTTTCCTGCTGTGACAGATTCTGGAGGCAGGGGTAGGCGCTTGGCACTCCTGCTCTGGGAAGTCCCTAACCACAGCTCTCTCCTATTCCCCAGCCCACCTCCAGGCACCCCAACCCCTTCTCCCCAGCATCCAAAACAAACCAAAGGGCCAGCTCTGCCTCTGTTCCCTTTAGCAAACTCCAGTGTCACATTTCAGGGCAACAGGTAAACACCGGTGAGATAAGCCCTCTTGTGTGACCAGGAGAATGAGGTGGAATGTAAAACAGTGTCAGGATCCAGCCACAAGATTGATCATCTCCTTCCCACCTTACCCCCAAAAGTCCACCTTGACATCCGGCACCCAGTAGCTATCAGAACGTGGAGGAGGAGGGGCCATCAGAGGAAGCTTTGTCCTGACCCTCACCAGCCCAGCAATGCCTCCCCACCATGCTCTGCATGTATTACCTCCATTCAGGTCAAGAGATGATTGTAGGTTCCTGGAGACACCTGGGAGGTGAGTGGGGAAAACCCCTGTGGAAACCAGCTTGAGGAAATTAGAATTAGAAAGGACTGGACTTGCCCCAAGGGAGCCATGGAAAGGTGCCAGAGCAGCAAATGTGGCCATCCGCCCAAGGCTATGGGCTGGGATCCTAGCAGACCCTGGTGACTTAGATCACCTCTTCCCTTCTTTCTCTTTGGCCCTTTTTCAGAAAACTTCCACAAAGAGGATTAGGAAGTTGTAAGAAAACTGCCTCCAAAGCATCATATTGGAGAGGGGGAGGGGCAGAGAAGGACTGAGAACTTGGTGGCTCAGCTTTGCCAAGGACCCTGTCCTCCGGAAAGTAAGCCCTCTACTCAGTTTTAATCATCACGTGACTAAGTAGGGCTGAGGAAGGCCAGGGTGCCAAGCCAGGAGAGAGGCTCATGCCAGGGACCTTGGCCTGACTTCACTGTACTCCTCATCCAGGTCCAGTTCACCAGTTCCACCCTTTCGGGTCCAGCCATCCCTCTGCTGGCCTCAGTGCTGCGGGGCAAGTAGGAGGGAGGAGTTGGGTCCTGCTCACCCTCGGGCACTGGAGGAAGATGAGTAGTGAGTGGGGCTCCAGCGTCCCACTGTCTGAAAACCCATGGCCTCCAGAGTGTGGCTCTGGGTGAGGGAGCTGGAAGAGGCCAGCTTCTCGGACCCTCAGCCACTGTTGCCGCTTGGCACGGGATCCCTCCAGCCGGCCCAACCACGGATCTGGAGCGGTTCCCTCCTATTGTCACCCGCCATCACCGAGACAGAGGCAGGGCCGCCCAGCGGTGCAGAGGAGACCTAGGGGTCGCTGCGTGATCTGATCGGAGCTCCGCCTGGCCAGCGTCCCGGCGGGTCTGGGTGCTCAGTGTTCCTCAAGGACCTCCACTCCTGGGCCGTTCGTTGGCAGGTGGCCCCGTTGCTGGCATGGCCCGCCGAGCCCAGCTCCACAGTAGCAGTTGACCCCGACTTTCTAGCTGGAAAGCCTGGATTCTTGGTGCGCTCCTGGTAGGATGTGGGCCTCGGAGGCACCCATGGGTGCACAGGGTTGCATGTAATGTGCGGACCTCAGCTAGGAGGGAAGCTGGGAGGGGCTGTGGTGGGCAGGGGAGGAAGCCTTGAGGCCTTGGCGAGTGGGGGTGGGGCTCAGGGAGGGTTGGTGAACAAAGCGCATTTGAATCAAGTTGACTGTTAAATTGGTTTGAAAACCTGGTGGAAAGTTGACTTGCTCCTTCTGGGGCTGGGACGGGGGTAGTTATCTAAACAGGAGGGTGTTGCTATCAGAACTCTGAAAAAGAGCATCCATTTCTGTCCCCAGCTTCTCAGTGCAGTCTCCCCTTCCTTCCCACCACAAACCCGTGGTGTATTTACATAAGAATGAATTTAAACAAACCAAACAGCATCCTCATTTACAATTTTATTTATTATAAAATAATTATTCACTGTTTTGAAGCTCCAACGACCTAGGTCTGAAGAAGAGGAGACAGCTCAAGGGGGGCTGCCCACTCCCTGGAGCCACCGCGGGGACCTGCCTTCAACACCGAGAACGGCAACGCAGACCCTCCTGGGTGCAGCGGGCAGTGCTGTGGCCTCCGTCGCCTGCCGTTCAAATGGCCGTTCTTTGCTGTGCGGATGGCGGGCCGGGCGCCTTGACTGGCCCAGGTCTCCAGACCCCGCCAGGCCCTCCGCCCCAATGTGAGCGATTTATGACTCTTGTTAAATACTCATTAGGACTTTGCACCTTTCTCCTGCAGGACCCAGGAAGCCACGGGCTAAGCAACAGCGAGGCGAGTGCCAAACAGTCAGCAATGACCTGCAAGGAGCACGAAGCTGTAACCCAGGTGCCCAGAGGGTCGGCTGGATGCAATGATCCGGTGGTCCTCTCAGCCCAACCCCTGGGTGCCCAGACAGTGTTCTCCTGCCACGCCAAGCTGGGGGCGGGGGTTGGGGGTGGGGGGAGGCGTGTCCATGACGCCTCTGGAGCATCCTGACCTAGAGTAGCGCCTTCAACTCGCAACACTGCGGAGACCCCCACTTCCAGAGGGGCATGCCGCGGAGGGAAGAGTCAAGTGGGGCAGGCGGGAGGAGATGCCGGGAGGCTCCAGGAAAACACGAAACGGAAAAAGGCCCAGAGCAAAGGACACGGATGGTCAGACTCTGGGAGCAGTGCTTCAATAGAGTGGGGTTTGGCTCCCCGGAAGGCGGAAGGCAGGTGAGCTGGTGCGCAAAGTGTGCCTGGGAGCCTGGAGATTTCCCAACCCACGGGGGTTTCCCACCGTTGCAAGGCAGAGAAAGGGACGCAGTGGCCCGGCCTGCAGTGCCCCGGTGAGTGTCGGAGGAAGTGAATTACATGTGTGTGCGCACGTAAATATTTTATAAACCTCCCCATAATTAACCAGATCATTTCCATTGTGCTCCAATATGATCAACTGCGACAATGTGAGAGTTTTCGGGGTTTATAATTTGATGTCACCAGACGGTTGCTCCAGGGCAGAGGTACCATCGCTGCACCAGCTGCACTCGTGTTTATTTGTTTTTCTCCGGTGTTCCTGTAGGGCTCCATTATGCAGTGTTTAATTAGTTTGCGTTTGTATTTCACCCTTCCCAAATCAATGCCATCCCGGAGCAAGGCGTTGTAAATGCTGGCAGTACAGGTGTACTGCCTCCTCCGCAGCAATAGGAAACGCGTGTCTGACAAATGAAAGCAGGGCTCTCTGTCAGCTCTCTGTAGCTGGGACTCCAAGATCAAAGCCAGCGGGGACTTCTGTGCCCCCTGAGCACAGTCCTGGCTGTGGCTCCGGATGCCATTGGAGGGAGCTTGGCCACCTGCATGGGAGACAACTGACTTCAATTTGTTCAAGTCCTGGGGTCTTTGGGCCAGCATTGGCCTCCAGCGCTTTGAGCTTGGGGCCTCCTGGGCATGGGCTGAATATGTGCAGGGCTCCCACCTGGATGCCGGGTTGTGGACAAGCATACAGATAACCAAGCACCCGACGAGGGCCCTTGTGAGTGACTTCCTGCCTGATCCCAAAAGTCCTTTCAATGGAACCCAGAGCATACAGCTCAAACTTCTGGAATCTCCAGACAGGAGGACCCCTTCCCCCACCACCTCTCAGGGAGGTATTGGCATCTATATCTTTTTGAAATGACCTCTGGGGGCGGGGGTGGGGTGGGGTGGGGAGGTGAGGGGTGTAAATCTATCCTTCCAGCCACCAGGGAATTCTTTTACTTGCTTTTTTCTTTTTGTCAGGAATAAGAGATTGTTCATCTTTAACTAGACTGCATAGAAATTATGATTCAACAGCAGTGTATATTTAATTAATCTCACTTGAATTTAATTACCTAATGAATTATTTGTTTAAAAGGTAGAATGTCTTGTTTGCCAAGAACCATGCAGACTTCTGATAAGAACTTGTGTTTTAAGGACAGTACTTTTAAGTGTAGGCATGTATTAAGGTTTATATTTTAACTCTTTGAGTATGTAATTGCCACTGTACAACTAAAAAAAAATACTATGTTTGTTATGTGCACATGTTTCTTTTAGAAATTAATAACTTCTAACTTTGTCGTGTAAGTCTAGTTTATTTTTAAACTTATTTCATTTTGCTTTCAGCAGCATATTTTTTTCTAGTGCAAGATGACAGCTGTCTATATGAAGACTTATTTCATGATTAGTGTTTGCACTGAAGTGGGGCACCCTTCAGGAAAACTCTAACCCAGCTCATCTGGATCCCTGAGGCATCCACACTGGCAGCAGGAAGACATTCATTGTTATCAAACTTATGGAAATAGAGGCTACCATGGCCCAGACTTTGACCTTAACCTTTAATTTCTAAACTGTGGAAGAATTTTTACCTCCTCTTGTTTTCAGTAAGCAAGAGCAAATAATCCCAAGCCATGCCCTCCTTTCTGAGAAGCTCTGAAATTGAATGTCTGGGTAACCCCAACAATTGGTGCAGCTAATGCAAAGTTTATAACCGGACTCCTTAAGTGGGGAGTGTGACCTGCTGGAAATCTAACAGGATTTCTGTATTTTCTGTGGTCCTGTTGCTGCAGAAGCAGATTGCTTCATTTCCTCCTCTATCCCGGGTGATGGACAGACTCTTCTACCCCTGCATGATGGAATTTCAGCGGAGAAATGCATGATGGGGGAGTAGGGGAGGGGCAGAGAGGGTTTCACCCTCTCACTGAGTTGAGAATAGGAGATAAGAACACCTCAAATCCACTTGGTTAAATTTTACTGTCATTTTCATTAATATTTCATTAATCAAATCATTTACTTTAATTGGGAGTTTGGTCACCATTGTCCCATAAATGTTAAATACTAGTGTGGTGTTCACCTAAGTAGGAATGGGATAAAATAAAAATGCAACACTGATAAGAATTATTTTTTGTGTTTTTCTTAGAAACTCTGATTTTTACCATAGCTGTGCATTTTGAAATTGGTGCTTTACAGCCAGTAATGATTAAAATTATAACACAAACTTAATCATATTCAGTTACAGTTACAGTGACATCCTTCTTCCAAAGAACCAGATCTACATGCATACATATTTGAAACATATAGGAATTTACTTCACATAGTCTTCCAAATAACAAGTGACAGTAAGAAGCAGAAAGGATGAGATAATAGCTTAGGAGCGATAACCCACTCCTCAGATCTGAGCCAATGCAAGGATGATTTCTTAGTAAAACCCTCAAAGGAAATTAAATGTGTGGGATGGAAGAAGCTGAAATACTAAATGGCATATTTATGTTGAGCTCTTCCAAAGCTATTTGAAATTTAGACCAAACAGTGTTCTATCTCCCATGACTTCCTATCAGCCCTCAATCAATTATATTATTAAAGATAAAAGCTACCTACTAGAAATACCTTTTAAAAACATCCATTGGCAAATAGTCGCCCACACAACATCCTAGATAGAAAGTTTCATGTATTCAGGGTTTCTAACAATGTGTGCACTGGAAGTCACTGGTCAATAGGCAAAAATCTGTTCACTGAAGGGACATCAACTCACCCAAAATGCCCAATAGACAACCTGCCCACAGTGACTTCAGGAGAAAGTTTCTCAAATGTTCTGAAAACCCTTTGGGTCTACCAGCGCTCTCCATAACCATCCTTATAGAAAAATATAATTTTGGGTGTGGGGTGAGTCTAAGGGAGGAAACTTAACACATCCCTAGACTCAGGAGTCCTTAGGCTGCTTTTTATTAAATGTCACCTTGAACTTTACTGTTACCCAAGGCTGTCTACAGAGCTGCTCCAGAGTTCAGGGCTCTTGGCTGCACTAGCTCCTTCACTCCTGGCCTCATGCAAGAAAAACTGGATAGAGAGGCCTAGGGCTCCTGGCCCCCAATTGTCTACCAGCTTTGAGAACATGACACGCCACGACCAAAAAGAAGGCCAGGAAGCTCCCCATCTTCAGCCTCTATTCCTCTCAGTACCCTTCTCTAGCCCCCAGTTTCAGAGCCCCTCCTAATGCCTCATGCTGCTCAAGGCTGCCAAGATGTTTCTTCCAGGCCACCTATTCCATGTTCTGGGGCTCTCCCTGTCCTCCAAAAGAACCCACATGGCCTCTGGTCCCCCTCTGTTGGGTATAAGCTGACTGATAGCAGGCTAATCCCAGCTCCTAATTTGACGTACAGTTAATTGACAGATATGTGTGAACTTAAACTCCTATACAGGGAATAGTCACATTTTAATAAGGGCCCATCAGTGCATTGATCCAAAGCTTCTAGGAGAGACCCACACTCTGGATGGAGGAGGGCATTGTCCCTTGAGCAGATGCACCATTGCACTCCTGATGTTACTCACCACAGGAAAAATGCCAAAGGTATCAGTTAAACCCCTTTCCTAGGTTTCACAAAAGAGGAAGCTTATAGTAGTTAAGCATGTGCTACCAGTCTACCTGGGTCCTAGGTCCAGGGGTAGTGTATGTACCTTAGGCTTTGGCCAAGAAAGAAGTGCCATAAAAATGAAGAATTTGAGTCTGACCCTGTCTTTCATCAGCGCCTGTGCCTCACTGCCAGCAAACACATTATCTCTGTGGTGGTGAGGTGGTGGAAAGCATCAGTGATCATTTTACAAGCTGAAGACTGTGTGACATTATCTCTAGGGTTGAGTTAAGTGGTTTGTCTAAAGTCACTTAGCCACAGGATAATAAATCCAGGCTTATAACCTGGGATCCCAGTTCCATAGTTTGCATGCTGGGCAGGGGCAGACAGACTTGTTGACCTAACCTTCCTTCTCACCCTCCTCCCCAAACCCTCGGAGCCCTCTGCTCCCGTGCCCCCAGGTTCAGGGGACTGTGTTGCAGCAGTCAGGGCTAGGAGGCAGCTGTCAGGAGCTCCTGATTCCGCCCCACACCCCTTTTAATACAATTTTTAAAAATGTATTTCCTTAACATTTGTGGAGGACCACTATAAGAAGTGGACAGCCTAAGATAAGTGTCTTTGGTAAATCATGCAGTTCAGTGAAACACAGGCAAACACCAGACTATTGTACAAGGCAGAAATAGTACAAAGAGGAATATGCCGGATATTTAGCTTTTGACTTTCAGCTTCAACACTGCCCTCCCTCTACCTTATGCTGCGTGAATCAGGGTCCTACAAAACCCTTATCTGCATTGGCACTCTCTCCCTTAGACTCTACCAAAGTGGGTGCCAGGAGAAGGCTTTAGGGAGGATGGAGGGAGGGAGCCTTGTCCTCCCTGTTCCTGATAACTTCCTGTGACTCTCAGCATCCACATAGTGGAACACTTCACCCACCCATCCCCAACCCCCGCAGAAACGGGTCCTTTGTGGCAACTGGTGAGTCCAATTTGGCGGTTTCCAGCAGTCAGAGAACTCCACCACTGTGTTTATTCTCAAATGAGCCCATCGGCTTTTCTCTTATAAATTGACTTGGGTATCTGTTGGTGAAGGATGCATTTTGATGATAAATTAAAAAAAAAAAAACATTCAATGAGAATTCCACTTGTGTGCCTGGACGAACGTTTTCTGCTGCATGTCCCTACACCTGTGGAGTGACCAGCACATGGGGGGAATGAGGAAGAATTAATTGCCTTAATGAGTCATGGCCATACCCTTAAAGGGTCAGTTTTGGGGCAAAACAGTATTAAATCAATACAAATGACTTCAGAAAATGTAGTAATATCTGAATAACATATAGACATTGTGGGAAATATACTTTAATGCTAAAGCCATGATGAAGTGAAGTATTTATTGTTTTAATCTGAGTTACTTTGTGGTTGGCATATCATCCTCTTGATCTTATTTGAGGATTCATGAAATGTTCTGGAATTCTTTTCTCAGAATAGGTAGTTACTTAATATTTCATTTTCTCTGTTTACTGAACGTCATCAATAAATAACAAAGCACAAAGGTGAAGTGGTTTCTGTGTAGAGTTCTTCTGTTTGCTGTTAATCAGGTGTTTGGAAGAAGGTGAGATAAAGGGGTCTCCTAGCCACGTCTAAAGGGGCAGCACCCCTCAACCTTTAATTCGGTGTATGAGGTGACAGGAAACAAGTGGAGGATCTCCTGACCACGCAGGAAACCTATAGTCAGCTGGTCATCAAAAAGAACAAACTGGGCTTTAGAAAACACTTAAAATAGTGTGAAGAATGATTTTTAAATCACCTTTATGTGTGTTGAAAACTTAAAACCTCAGTGATTTAACCACTTGGATTTTTGGCCCCAATTTTATGCTTAAGGTGCCAATGGTACACATAGTTTGTGTTTTTTTTTTTTTCTTTGAGTAGGGTTACATAGCATTTAAAGACTGTGGTTGCACAAATGTTTGTTGAGTGATGATCTTGAGACAGACATGAGTCTGGGCCATGGATTCAGCATTCAGGAGTGTCACAGGAATGAGCATGAGGTGGGAACAAGCTGCTTGCTCACATTGAGGCCCCTTGAATATTCTGTGCTGGGGTTCAGCGTGCTCAGTACCTTAAACACAGCAGTTAGCCAACCAGGATGGTCAGAGACCTGACTGGTTCCATGAGTGCAGGTGAGACCTTGGCCTTTGCGAGCACTCCTGGCAGCTTTGGAGTGGATGGTCAGTGTCTGGTCTCAGATCTGCTTCTACCCAGGAAGGAGGGATGTCTGGAGCTAAGGGCCTGACAGAGACCCCTTTCCTCTCCACACTCCAGAGGAGGGGAGACCCAGAGAACAACTCATCAGGTGTTTCTGCTCTGCTGGCTCCTGGGTGGGGAGTGGCTCCTGTTGCCATCCTGGGGCTGCATAATAAAACACCACCAACTGTGTAGCATGGCCTAAAACAACAGACATTTATTCTCTCACAGCTCTGGAGACCAAAAGTCTGAAATCAAGGCAGGCCTATGAGACTTCTGAAGGTCCAGGGAAGGATACTTCCTATCTCTTCCAGGTCCTGTTGACTCCAGCATCCCTGGGCTTGTGGCCACATCACACCCATCTCTGTCTTTGTCTTTGTCTTCACATGGCCTTCTCTTCTATGTCTGTGTCTCTCTTCTTCTGAGTTTTATAAGGACAACCATGATTGGATTTGGGGATGATCTGGGTAATCCAGAATAATCTCTTCATATAGAGATCCTAAAGTTAATTACCTCTGAATAGACCTTTGTTCAAGATGAGGTCATATTACAGGTTCTGGGGTCAGGATGTAGATATATCTTTTGGCGGCTGCCATTCAACTTACTATAGGTTCTTAGTGAAGAGAGTCTGGGACATGATCACAGTGAAGGGCCCACGTGGACAGGAAGTGTTAACATGACCTATAGAGACCACCACCTGAGGGCACCTTGAGCTCTTTTGTTTCTGGATGATGACAAGGAGTCAGTCTGAGAGAGGCCTTAGAAGAAATGACAAAGGCTCCTGTCATTCCCTTGTAACAGCAGTGGAACAGGCCTGCTGGCATCCTGAGCTCCAAGTGTCTGGGGGTTTGTCCCCTCTGTCACTTCCTGGTATGTTGTAATTTCACTGCCTGGGCCATGACTCAGCACTTCCTCCATCTTCCTAAATATTCTAGTCATACTGAGGACCTGCAGGCAGTTCTTTCTTCTTCTTCTTTTTTTAACTCTTTATATACCTGTCATGATCTCATGTTTTCCCTTTCTAAACTCAAGAGCAACTTGTTTTTATCTTTGTATATCATTCCAGGCTCCAGCGCTCTGAGCTACAAAGATGGGTTTTGAGAACTGGTACCAATGTTGTCTGAATTACAATTGATCTGTCCAAGAGGATGAAACTGCCAGATTTTAATGTCTCTTAATTACAGCTACCCTCATTAAGGACAGGAGAGGAAGTGGAGCTCCGTCAAAGGTACTTCAATTGCCATTGCCAAGTATGGTGTTCTCAGTTTTTTCAGTTAATTATGCTCCGACTTTCTAGAGCTGCCTTCAT